AATGGTGGCATCAGCATACGCCATCAAGAAAGCTCCAGGTAAGAGAATTTTCAAAATGTTCTTGCAGCAATTTACGGCGCAGAACCCAATGGTTCGAACACTAGTGAAAGTCATTAAAGCTATCAACGTCTAGTGGCGTTCTTGTGATAAGAGAATCCGTTTCTATGGTTAAATCAAGAATCCCTGTGAAGACAATGCAAGTAAGTCAGTTGGGCAGGGTGATTGCGGGGCAACATAAACCTATTCGTTTAGACCCCGTTCAACCCGAATGGCTCCAAACTGCCAAAAAGCTTATCCATTCGGATGGTACTCAGCATCTTTTGAGGTCCCGGGGAAGAGATCAATTGTTTCAAAGCGGCTGGCTGTTGAGGATGGATCAGTCATTTCCGGGTGATGAACGGCCATGCACCGGCCGCCGTATCTGAGGTAACCTCAGAAAAAACAATCAACGAACAAGTGGCAGCCAAGCAAACCATCAGGCTTGAATGCATCGAGAAACTTACGTAAATGAGTGGTTGCATGCAGTGGTTGCTAGTTACTAATACTATATAATTTTGTTCATTATATATATATATATGTTACTGACAGGTGGGCGAGAAAGTTGATTGCCAACGCTTGCGTTTTTGTCACACATCGTGCATGGGAAAGACCCTGCGAGCGTGTCGTCAGGATACAGCCGAAAGCTGAGGAAATCGCGTATCACACCGCAGGCGTGTTGCCAAGGCACCGGGTGGGCGAACAAAGATTGGAGGGTACGTGCAAGACGGCGAACTGGACAATTTGAGCGGACAAGCACGTGCGGGGTGTGGGTTTACAGCAAAATCCGCCTGGTGCTACCGACATATAAATATCATGCCTCCATGAGCGTGCCTCGCATAGTCGAGAATAAAATATTTATTTATTTATTTATTTATTTAATACAACTCTGGTCTGCTGAGTCTTCTTCCGGTTTCCTTCCGGTTGAGTTTGCCGAGGCGTCAAACAGAGCTCGCGTAAGTGCGCATAATTAGCAGCAGGCGTGAATCAACCGGTCTATTGCGAGCGCAGCGTTATAACATTGGTGACGCGAGTACAACCGAACACAGAAATGGCAATCAGCTTCGAGCAATTGCGGACGCTTTTGCAGCAAAAACGGGCGCAGTTTGAAGGATCCCAGGCCAAGCTAATCGAGATGCTAACTCAGAAAATGACAGCGCAGGCAAGCTCAGGGTTAGGAACAAGTGAAGATGCTCCCTCACCAGCAACCCTGACTCAGCAGCTCAGTGAGTTCTATTATGACGCTGATGCCGGTATAACAATTTTTCTTGGTTCCACAAATATGAAGACATGTTCCGGGTTGATTTTGCCAGCCTTCCAGCGAAACAGAAGATTCCACTGATGCTGCGGAAGCTGGATGCTGCTGAAACCTGAGAAGTTTACCAATTTTATCTTGCCGTAAAAGAGTACCGATTTGTCTTTCAACAAAGTTGTTGCAGTCCTGTCGCTGATTTTCGTAGAGCAAACATCTTTGTTCAACATTCGCTACACGTGTCTGACATGAACAAAACAAGAAAACGAAGACTGGGTCGACTATTCCAGTCGTGTGAATCGAGCGTGCAAACAGACCCAACTACACAGGATGACAAGTGATCAGTATAAACGTCTCATACAGTTTCGTGGCCTATAAGCATTCAATGACGCCAACATTCGAAGACGAATACTGAACAAAACTGAGCAGAATCCGGATGTCACATTGCAACCAGTGACCGGGGAGTGCCAACATATGACAAAGCTGAAGCATCGTACCGCACTGATTCAGCAGTTGTCCAACCGGAACCATTAAGATTTTCTTTGTGCAGTCAGCCGTTATCTCCGCAAAGAAGCTTCCCACTTGAGTTCACCGCATTCTATACCTCCAACTGCATTTTGATTTGTAGATCGGTATTGTGCACGTGAGTGTCCATTCAAAACTCCCACTTGCTACCGTTGCGGCGGAAGAGGACAAAAGGAGTCATGCTACCTGCCGACTAGTCCAATTTTGACCAAAAGGATGCGTAACAACGCCAGACGGTTCCGGCGTCCAAATTTGACCAGACCTGGCACCGCAACTTTCAAGGTTGACGAGACCCGCAAGCGCAAATACACAATCGTGAAAATTAACGGCTTCCAAGGCAAGTTACAAATCAACACGGATTCAGTTATCACCCTGATGTCTCGCGACACTTGGTGCATGCTGGGGCGACCGCCACGCATACAAACGGACCACACGGCACGGAATGCTTCAGGAGGTAAGTTGAAATTGCTTGGTGAACTGAATTGTCAGGTAAACTTCCGCGATAAACAAGTCCAGACGAAACGTTTCGTGACAGACTAGCCGCGGTTAGATTTGTTGACGCTGGCCTAGATGGAGGAACTTAAACTGCTTGCTCAATCAGTGAACAGTATATGTCAACCACGGCAAGTCATTCTGTAGTCGCAGCCGTCACCTTCAAGCCCGAATTTTTAAAGCTAACGTATGGAGCTAAATAGACGTCACGATGCATTGTTCCAACCTGGGCTCTGATGCAGGAACGTAGCTACTGCCGATTTAAACCTTAAATCAGACGCCAATCCAGCATTTAGACTAAGACGCCGGTGCCCTAAGTAACCCAGTCCTTAGCTGAAGTCGAGTTAAACCGAATACATTCTGAAGGGATAATCGAACGAGTTCCTTATTCCGAATGAGCAACACCTATCGTGGCGCTCAAGAAAGGAAACGATAAAGTCCGTATTGGTGCTGCTTTCTCGATAGGTTTGAATTCTGTGCTGGAAGATCATCCGTATCCTCTGCCTGTACCAGCAGACTTGTTCAGGAAACTCAATGAGAGGGAAGGTTTCGCAAAACTTGACCTTGCTGCTACGTACCTGCAAACCCCAGTTGCCCATCAGTGCAGCACATTGCTGACAGTAAATACCCACCTCTGACTTTTTCAATACGACCGTCTGCCGTTCCGAGTAAAAACCGCACCGGCCATTGTTCAATGAATAATGGATACCTTTCTGCGCGATATCCCAAATACAGCAGTGTACCTGGACGATATGTTGTTTATGGGCTCAGATCCGCAAGACTTGCTACGGAAGCTGAAGAGAGTGCTCTCGCGTCTCGAAGAAGCTGGATTGAGATTACGGGCTGAAAAATATGAATTCGTAGTAGAAAGGGTCAAATTTCTTCAGTGTCTCATCGACGAAGGTTGCCGGCGCAGGGATCCCGCCAGTATAGTTGTCATCAAAAATAGGATGATACCAGATGACATTGCAGAGCGCCGCCCGTTTCTTGAGCTCGTTGGACATTACAATGCTTTCTACCAAGCCTTCATAAAATCGAGGACCGCTGAACCAGCTACTGACAAAAGACAAGGGTGGGAAATGGACGCAGGTGTGCCAGCAGTCGTTTGATACAGTCGAAGCAGTTATCACTTCGGATCTACTCTTGACTCACTTCAATCCGAATTGCCATTTTATCGTTGCTACGGATGCTTCCAATTATGGTGTCGGTGCAGTTCCCGAGCTTTCCGCATGAAGGAGAGAAGACTACCGCGCACGCAGCACGGTCACTAACTCCAGATGAAAAGAGCTATAGCCAGATAGAGAAGGAGGCGCTCACGATATTTTTTGCAATGAAACGGTTCTATAAGCTGCTGTGTGGCAGAGGTTTCACGCTCCTGACTGACCACAAGCCACTTCTGCCAATATTTGGGTAAAAGAAAGGAATTCCAGTTCTTACGGCCAACTGATTGCAAAGGTGGCCGACCATACTACTGGCCTACGACTTCAGTATACGTTATAAACCGCCGCAACTAATCGGTCAAGCGGATGCCCTGTCTCGTATTACCAATTCATACCCGAAGGAGAATGATGACTGTGTGATTGCAGCTATCAGTTTCGAATCAGAAGTCCAACGTATCCTGGCTAATAACGTGAGAAGGCTGCCGGTAAAATCCGACACCATTCGTATTGAGACCTCAAGGGACAGAATCATGTAGAAAGCGATGCAGTGCACACGAACCGGTCGGTTAAATGGAGGCCTTCCTATGGAGTTGCGGCCGGTATCCAACCGACGTGGATCCCCGTCAGTCGCGGACTTTTGTATGATGTTTGGCGATCGAGTGGTGGCGCCAGCAAAATTGTAGCGGCAAATATTGCAGTATTTCCGCAGGAGCACCCTGGTACCGGCCGCGTGAAAGCCTTGGAACGCAGCTTTGTTTACTGACCCGAAATGGATTCGGAAATTGAGAAATTCTGCCAACAGTGTAAATCTTGTCAACTTGCAAATTCTTGCAAATTTCTTGCAAATTCATGATCGCAAATTGCTTTGTCAAAATGATCATGCCTGTAAAGGTGTGCCTTGCCTTGCCGAGAATAAAAGCTTTATTTACTTATTTATTTAAGTATCAGTGGCAACCTTAGCCTAAAGCAGAGAAATCGTGGCAAAGAATACACTTAGATTATGCAGAACCAAACAATGGCTAAGCCTACCTCGTGTCGGTCGACAAATACATTAAGTGGCCGGACGTGCTTCCGGTGAAATATCCGACTGCTCAGCACGCTGTCAACGAGCTGGAGAAGCCGTTCTGATATTTCGGCCTACCAGAGTTGTTAGTAACAGAATGGAACATAATTTACCTGGACTTCTTTCCGCGAGTGGTGCAAGGAAAAGGGAATTTAGCAGTTGTCCTCAGCACCGTATAATCCGCAATCAAACAGACGGACGGAAAGTTCTGCAGATACGTGCAAACGTGCACTCTGTAAAGTGGGGCCAAGAAGGGATTCTCAGGATGCAATTCAAACTTACCTATGCATGTATCGGAAGGCTCCGAATCCACACTCTCCTGATGGGAAGGCCTGTACAGAAGTACCAGTTAGAAGAAATATTCGGACGTTGTTCGATACTCGTTTAACAAGGAGGAGTAAAAAAACTGAGAGAGATAATCCTACTTTCATTGTTTAACAGGCTCATAATTACAATCACTGGCATCTCTTGCCACACAGCAGGTACTGACTGCTCTGTCTAAACTGAAAGCACTTGGTCTGATTCATGCTGATCTAAAACCAGAGAATATCATGCTTGTTTCGTCCACTAATGGCCCATTGCGTTACCGTGTTAAAGTTATTGACTTTGGTTCAGCATGTCACAGTTCCAAAGCCGTTCAAAATACTTATCTACAGTCAAGGTATTATAGAGCTCCTGAGATATTACTTGGGCTTCCCTTCAATGAGGCTATTGATATATGGTCCCTTGGTTGCGTCATAGCCAAACTGTTCCTTGGTTGGCCTCTGTATCCTGGCTCCTCAGAATACGATCAAATGCGGTACATCGTCGAAACTCAAGGCCTTCCACCACCTGACTTGCTGCAGAATGCAGGGAAGCGCAATACCTTTTTTGTCCGCGATCCATATCATTGCGATTGGCGCCTTAAAACTCAGGAGGAATACGCCCTGGAAACTGGTCAGCAGGCGAAGGAGGCTCGGAAATACTTCTTTACGTCGCTGAGCCAGATTTGCGATGTCTCTGGCCTTCTTCCTTCAGATGATTTTGATAGCGAACTCGAGCAGGAAGACAGGCAACAGTTTGCTTCTTTGCTATCGCTTATGCTGAAAATGCGTCCAACTGAACGCGTTCTCCCTGATAACGCGTTATTCCATCCATTTATCACCATGGTTCATCTGCAAACGTGCCCATTTTCGAAAAGTTTTCATGAGTCAATCGCCCTTATGCAAGTGTGCCACAAGGCTACTCGTAGACGGCAACTCCTCAATTCTCGGAATGCATCAGACCAATTCAGTTCGTTGCCCTCTTTGAATGATCCCTGCCCTAGTGTTGCCACTTCTGTGCTCCCATCTCCAACAGATCCGGACACATCATTTGTGGCACCGGATCCTAGAAATCCTGACATTCAGCAGCCGAGTTCAGCTGTGGCCTACTACGCCGCTGCCGCAGTTGCAGCTTTGGCGAAGCCAAATCCCCAAGTAGTCGCATGTATTGATCCAAAACGTACTACGAATTGCCTCCCGGAGCAATATGCTATGTCCTCTCTGTCTACCGATGAATCTCAACAGCCTTCCATCAGTTTACTTTCCGATTCCAGTCACACTTGTTCATTATCAAACCAGCATCCGACAGCGACAGTTTTACTAACACAAAACAAACCGGAGGTTGATTCTCACCCAAACGCAGATACTGTTGGGTTGTTAAATTCCTGCGTTACTGTGCCGCAGTCACTTTCTCTTTATGACCTTGTGGCCGCTGGTGGCACTGCTCTTTCGCTGCTGAACGCAGTCACTGCTCCAGCGTCTTCCACGGCGGCAGTGGCGCACACTCATTTACGCAATTCCACCCATACTTCCTATGACTGCATCCCTCATCAGGTCCAGCAACATCAACAGTTGCCTGTCAAGTATTGTAAGCTGGATTCGACTCACTTACACTTAGATCAAGCAGAGAGGGCAGCTCTCATGCTTAGCTCATATTTGGGTCAGGAACAAGTTCAGTTAGCCCCATGCGAGCCATATGTATCGGTGCCCTCATTCGCTTCCGGAGTCCGTCCGTGCAGAATCGAGGCAGCAGACATCCGTAATACTTTAAATGCCTTTGTCCAACAGCACCAGCTGTGCCAAACTCCTGCAGCTTTAACTGTACTCCGACAACACAGCCAGCAGCGGCAAGGTCTTGTTAATCGGCATCATAAATCTTTCGTTGGAAGCTCTCATCCATCTAACTTGTGTTCAGTTCACCCGACAGATAGTCTTCGTTCTACTGGTGTTGTTTTACCATCCGCATCCACCAATGGACTACTGAGCTATGTTCAACCGCATTCCCAACATCACACTAGTGTTTCTCAAAGTGGACAAAACCGTGTTGCGAATCTACAGCGTATGTCAAGTTCTAAACTGGAACCTCGCAATCAAATTGTATATGACCACCAGCTGCAGCATTCCGCTGTACTGGTCAACCCCAGCATTCCAGTCCTGAACACGGCTCATGCATCTAGCCGTGACTCTTTTCACGTGCACCCCGCATTAATTCATCAACAGCCCCATCATTCCTCTGCGCAATTATCCATCCAAACATGTATGCAACTCAGCCGAACGCCGTCGCCAACGTCTGTCTCTATAGAAATGTCCTCCACTGCCGCTGGCGCTTCCGAGGCGCTGCTGCCTATGAACCTGGCAACAACTTCTAATTCTGATGTTGTAAATACCACCTTTGGGTGCCCAGCGCAGAAGTTGGCCTCGTCCGATTCCTTGTCCTGTGCACCACCACACACCGATTGGGTGCGCTATCATTCGTGTTCGACCAGTGGAGTGAAATCATTCGACCATCAGGTGCAAGCTGTGCTTAAATCGCGCTCCACAGCTGATTTCTCCATCTCTACAACTACCCACTGTCCTCCCAATCCAGCGTCACATTTGAACAAAACTTCGGAGTGCCAACTTCTCTCTCATTCCGTGAGCACTTCACTGACCGACGTGAAGTACTCGCCCCCAGTCTCTTGCAGTACGATTACGACCGTGGACTCCGACACTCTGTCCGCTGGTGGGATGGATAGACCCGATCCTGCTGGACAAGCCACCTGTAGAGGGTCATTCAACGAAAGTCTTCCCGGGGGCATCCTCTCTTCGATCAGATAAGAAAATCCTTATCGCATAATTGGACTTCAGTATCTATGGTTGCAGCTGCGCGCCTTAGACGGTAACACTTAACGTCTTTACAAAACGGTAACATATACTCCCTGTTCCTGTAATCACTTTTATTACTAGGACGTTTTCCAACCAAATTTTGCAAACCTCTATAACGACGACAATGTACGTACGCTGGGGAGCAAAAGCACAATCCCTTAGGAGTGCATTGTACCGCATGATATGTATGTGTTAGGCCCTACCATGGGTGCAAACGGTTTTTTCATGCACTATGACATTTAGGTGAAAACGTGCGTAGAGTGGGTTTAAACCCGTTAGATCTACAATTACGACGTGCGAATTAACGATTCAATGAAAAATGTCGACCGCTAGCATAATGAAACAACTAAATTATTAAATTGTACCAGTAGCCTAAGGTCTCTAACCATGAACGTTTAAACACGTTAGCTAAGATGTCAATAAGTGAAATCACTGGTTGTCCTTTTGTAGACGCAAGAGGAGCAATCGACAGTCTAGCTACGTTAGGCTTACTTTCACCGAACGCAACAACATTTTATCGGAAAATACAAACGTTCTTTGCTTATATTAAGAAGCGCCGTGGTTCAACTTAGACAATACCAACATCGGTGGGGGCCGATGGAACTCATGCCTATGCGAGCAATAACGACGCTTTTGACCTAAGGGGCTATTTTGAAGGGGCTTCGCACATAAAGCTGCTGTGAATAAGCTTGTTACCACAAATAGCTACCAGATTGCCACTCGCATCCTGTCGATCAAATTTGTACACCTATGCCTTCACTACATTTTAGCGTTGACACCAATTTCGCCTTTAGCCCGATAATTCCTTTCCATGGCTTAAACTGCCTTAACTCCATTCAGCTCGCATGGGTGCTAGAATCAATAACCTCACGCGTTGTAACGCTTCATCCACTCAAGTGAAAACGTGTACCTGGCTACTTCTACAGCGAAGCCACTAACACACTTATCCAATGGGGCGTTTAGCTTCGCTATGCTCCGCTCACTTCGCAGGCCGCTTTTGTTTGCTTTCTCTTTCACACCTACACAACTTACCTGCACTGCGCAACGCAGCACATTATACATTTAGCCACAGACGCTCTATTTTTGTTTTCCTAATTCCGCTGATTTTGCGCTTCGCTTTAAACTGTCGCCGGACTTTCTAACGGCTATCTCTCAATTAATTTGCTTTTGCGGGCCCCTCTTCTAACCTTGTGAGATTTAACAACGCCGCGCCTTTGCTTCGCTGTAATTTGGTGCTTTAGTAGCGGTCCTGATATTCTCGCATTCCTGCCCATTTCATGTGACCTAACAACCCAAACAATTGCTTTGCAATTGTTCTTTGCATTTAGTACCCCAAATACTTTAGGCCGCCGATTACATATCACAGAGGATTACGGATATATGCACAAGTTTCCTTGGTAGTCACTCATCACCTTTTTAGTTTCCACCGACTTTATTGCGTTTCAAATACACCCATCTGGAACACACCATGGATCTTGGACCAACCTGAATAATATGGATTGCCGGACAAGGAGTTGCTTTCGACGCCTACTTGTTAATGGATTATATCTATAAGTGTAATGAGCATAGCTTCGCAGGCGCACAATGCAGGGTACTAAGACGCACCGCACACGCATTTATTCAACAATCAAAACAGCGAAATTCCTAAACTTTGCAGTGCTAGACGACGTAAAGGGTCATTTCTATTAAAATTCTCTCTGCCAAGCTCTGGAACCCAGCACAAAATGGCTCGTGGGCGGTGACTGACTACAGATAGAGATGATGTGATTTTACTATACTAACCAATGGCCGGTATCGATTATTCAAATAACTGAATGCGTCGCGATAGTTGATAGGTACACCACTCCACTCTGTCTTGGTTTTTATCCCAACTACATCATTCCAGCCAACGGTTTGCTCACGCAGATTCTACCAATAAATAAGCGATATCAACCCCTATCCATACCTGCTTGCCGTCAAAATATTGTGCAATAAAACGCGTTCCATATTTTTGCAGATAATGTAAAAATACATCGCGGTTTTACCTATTACTGTAATGCGCATCCTCAGTCAAATTCGCTTGCAATCTTATGGTCATGCTTACAGAGCAGTACCTTGAATGATCCGGGAATAAAACTACATAAGGTACTTTGAAGCCACATTTGTCTAACGGTTGTCCATATGAAAACCTTAAGGAAACTTTCTTTTATTTATTTTTATAACTAATGGTTAGTACCATTCTAATGCATTCGCACCGGTCGTATCCATCTGATCATATGTTCACTGGCACACATGGCTATATTGTTAAAATGCCATTTATTTATTAATAGCGTTGTACTTGTCCCCAGAATCCATAAAGTATTTTAACTTAATTTTCTGTGGCGGAAACTCAAATGCTTGGGCTGCTACAAAACCTTAAGCCTACTAAAGCAGCTAGGATGGATACAAAACGCTCAAAGCTTTTGCATGTAATGGTGGCGGAACTTATTTGAAAGCAATTAACTCTTCAGCATTTTGAAAATTACAGCAAGATGCAAGCATTTAGTGTTGTCTTGTCGGTGGCAATAATAACAACCGATAAGAAACGATAGCAAATGGATGGTGTGCTCAAAATTGAAAAAAGGAAATTGGGGATCAAGATGGGCAAATTGCTTTGGTCTTTACTTCCACGGAAGCTTGAGCCTGAACAATAAATGCTTATGCACGCACTGTATAGCCTGCATTCGGGTAATTGCTATAGCCTTAACTAAGGAAAGAAAACGCGGATTCGGCTGCCGCAGCCAGCTGTTCAACGCTAGGTCGTGCCGGATCTGGTGACCAGTAATCAATCTGTGTTTATCTATGGAGAATGCCGGCGGCTTACACAACGAAAGCCTTGGGTAGGAAAAGACTATTCTTTTATCCCAAGCAGGAGCCACGTTGGTACTTGTTATTTTATCCAAGTGGACAATTCTTTTTCTGTCCTGCCCAAGTAACTGTCTCCGCAGTCGGATGTAAGTTGGTATACACAATGAGCACCGGTGCCGATTAGCAGAGCTTCGTATGAATGAGGTAGTGGCAAGTTGTTCATGCTGCTAACGGTGACGGTTTTAGCAGCCAAGTAGGTTCAGGCGTAGCAGAGATCCGGCCCAAAGGGTTTCTTAACGTGACGATATCAGCAGTGAAAGGGAATGAGGTCTAAACATTCTTCTTTGCTGCCTCCTGTACCATGTCCTTTGGTCCTCGTGACTCGCGTTGATTCCCTATAAAACTTCGAAGGTAACCGTTTGACGTCAGTGTGACCGTAATTCGCTCCAACTCATCAATTTAACAGTCTGTCGAGCAAAGTCATCTGACGTCACTAAACAAAATCTTCACAAGTATACACTTGTACCAAATTGATGTAAATCTCATGAAATTCTGGCAGTGACCGGACCATGTTGCCTTTCGGTAGGCGGGTCGCTTAAATTGTGTGTTATCTCTGCGACTGATGAGAGGTTCCAAGTTTGGTAGGCAACTTCTTTGTTCTGGCTCGCAGCTGACGCGCAAATTAGGATGCGCTCTGCCATAGTGCTCAACCAACTGATCTATTTTCCCCTTCGATGGACCGGAAGCTATAATATCATCAAAATTTCAGCTGTAACATGGCAGCTTGTCTATCCCTGGAAACATTCTTTGCTCGACCGTGAGCATAAGCAAAGCAGCCAGTAAAGGGCTCAGTGGGCTGCTCCTTGCCATCCCACCGTCTTGGAGGTATGGCAGGTGTTGAATGCAGAACTTAACATTTTCCATGCAGAGTAGCAGTTAATGCTTCAGTGACTCGGCCGAAATGGACTTTGAACAGCCATCGTGTGCAGCTAGTTTGCACACCCAAGGTACAGTCGCGTGTAGGGAGCCGTTAGCGAAGAGTGTTTCCACATCCGGGGATTACATGATATTATCTGACAATTTGAGCGCATGATGGTTGTCAAATATTTGAAATCTTTTTCTTAGACGGTACAAGTTGAACAACTGTCTCAGTGGAGTAAGAATGCTCAGCAGCCAGCGAGCTAGCCTATGCTGGGGCATGTGTGCCATTAGATGAATTGGCCGGACCGGCACACCGCTTGTGTGTTGTCGGTAGCACATACAGCTGTAGTGTAACTAAGCCAATTGACTTTAAACTGACAGAGGTAACATTATCTATCATGCGGTGGAGGAATGGCGTAACAAGGTAAGAGATAACGCGAGTCTAGGCCTTAGTCACATAGTCTACCTCCTTAAGCAGCACGGCTTAACTCGTGTTCTTGAGTATTATACCATATTTTGCATATAATCGGGCTTATTTATTACTACCACTGCCGAACTCTTATCCATTTCCATTGCAACCACGTCTTTAGTAAGTAGTTTAAGCAACGCTTGGGGCTGCTGGATCGTACAAGCATATATGTGCGCTGACGACGGTGTTTCAGAAGGCGGTTGACAGCCCTACTTTACCTTCTAAATGGAATGAAGCTGTCCTCTGTCCATACTTTAAAAACGGTGACAAAAGTTTAGCACCTGATTGCTGGTCAGTCAGGCTGACGGGCGACGTGGCCAAGCTGTTTGAAAAGCCGGTGAGGGATTCCTTTTAAGGTCGCCTGGATAGAGTTGATCTACTCAGCAGTGTAAAACACAGATACAAGAAAGTTTCTGTGTCTGCCAAACATTTGGTATATCGAGAAGCTTGGGCTGAGGCAGTGCACAATGGTCAGGTAGTGGACGCGCTTTTCGCCGAATTCTCGAAACATTTTTTAAAGTACCTTACTTGAGGCTATCAAAAACCCAAGCTCCTACGGTGTATCAGGCCTCGTCCTTTACTGTATACCTGCATGCTTGATTAGATGGCAGCAGTATGTACGCGTCGGTTAACACTTATGCACTGAGCAACTTGTGGTTAGCGGTGTACCACAGGGTACGGTTCTTGGACCGATGCCGTTCTTGAGGTACCTAAACGATTTCCCTGGGTGCTTAATGTAATA